GCGAGCCACCTAGTTGGAGAACGTCGGCTGTGGTCTAACTCGGGGAGGGATGGGCTCCGCCAGGTTAAAACACCAAAGACACACCACATGATGATCACACCAAGAAACCATTCGCGGTGACCCAGACTCTGGCACACGACCACGACAGATGGAGAAGAATGGTGGACAGCGACTCCTCCCGGCGAAAGAAGAAAACTTTTCAGTCAACAGTGAACTACATGTCCTATTGAAGACAATACAGCATAGTACATGGCATAAAAAAGCCTTAAATATAATTGACTATACGCAGGCATTTCTAATAATTCTACCAATCCAATACTTCTTAAACGTTGTAGCAATATGAAAAAGGTATCTTTATGTATACATCTTCATTCATCCCTTTTGTATTCTTTTAACTTCTTTCTATTCTTGTGCATTCTTTCTCGGACAATAAAATACGTTTCTAATTTATGTCACTGTTTATATATTCATTTTCACTGTCTTCTTTGGGGTAATTCCAATATCTCTACTCAACTGTGGCGTGGTGTGCAGAGATTTGATAATGCCAGGGGACAAAATCCTTCATTGTATGCCCCTAAGGCTCAAATAGAAGGGGCTACTCTGGTCTCGCTTATCAAAACACGGTTCCACCATTCACACCTGTATGGCGCTTGTACAATGAAATTAACAGAGACAATTTCAAATTTCAAAAACTAAATTTTTATTTCACTCTTTCATTGGATGCCCTCCAGATATGGATATCCGGGACTTCCGCAACCTCTTCTCACCTTCTTGTACGTTACTGCTATACACTAATATTTAAATATAAAATATATAGTATGGGATTAACATGACGGAATACCAGACATATGAATCGAATTTAATGTTCGTCAGAGACGTTGATCGAAGAATATGTACGAGTTTCACCGTAAAATATACCAAAGTAAGTTCTGTACTCATCGTTACCATCTGAACATCAAAAGATGTAGAAGCCCTGAGGGTTGCCCTAGAAGATGACAAAGTCACCAAGTGCAGAATTGGGCCTGAAATGAGGTAGGTGCACCAATATAAACAATGAAAGTGAGCCCAGCTGAACTTAGAGTATACACACACACAAGACAACTGGATAAGAGGACGTTATATTGGCTTGTGAATGGAGAGACAAGATCGCTGCCCATATCAATAATAAGATCGAACATTCGAAGAAAGACCCGAAACCACTTACCTTTGAGACGGCTAACGTGAATATGATGGAGACCAGAAGTGAATAAATAATTATTTTATGAATTAAAATTTTAGTCTCATGTTCTGAACAGGCTTTATTAACATAGAGTTACGTACAAAGAAATATCTAATAAATAGTTTCTATCTGAAAAAAAATTGAAATCAGTAATTCTTTAAGATATCGTTTTGTGATCAACGCAAATCTTATATTTCTTGATGTATCCCAACAGAGAAATGCTTTGAGAGATGGGCATTTTTTTTTTTTATCTCCGATCCCATGTTCTTATGAAAATCTTAATTTGAATACGGCTATATTTTGAATTCGGCCATGTACTAAATTCCCTTCGAGTCGCTATAGGCATAAATATAAAACTTTATATTGCTTAGTCGATAAATGTAAGCCGGATATGCGTTAAATACACTGCTTATAATGTTTGTTTGAATAACATTAAAAATCATAAAATTAGAAATTAGTCCAAACGAAACTGATTTCCTTTTCTGTGGTGCCTATTTACCTATTGACATCGAAATATTTAAAAAAGAAAATTATGATATGGATACTTACATATTAAAGGCATAAATGTAAGCATTATCATTGTTCTATCAATAAATCGTAAAGGTTACTAAAGAGGAAACCACGCCAGAAGGTAACCTTCTTTCATATAAAACAAACATTTCGTTAGAAACAAAGAAAAGAATAGTGAACTCTTACGTAATATCCGTCCTGCATATGACAGTGAATGCTGGACAATCTCCTCACAGTTGAAGAAGAGACTTGAAGCAACAGAAACAAAGAAATGTGTACTGAACCGTTACGCAATATTAGTCCTCTTATATGACAGTGAATGCTGAGCAATTTCCTCACAAATGAAGAAGAGACTTGAAGCAATAGAAATATGATTCTACAGAAAGATGCTGAGAATGAACCGAATATGTGAGGATCGACGAAGTTTTAGAAAAAAATGAAAAGAGAAAGGATACTTATATTTAACACCAGGAAGAGATCGTTGAAATTTTTAGCAAACATAACGTGGAAAGAGGGGTTAAAAAATCTGTGTTCTACTATTTAACTCATTTCTGGGTGAAAAGAGATTCAAAGCTTTCCCAGGGGTAAGTGAATATAACAAGCCCGAATGGAATTCGAATTTGGCCCTCTGATTTCTCATCCCGACATCGATTTCCATTACAACACACGCCCATCTAAGAAGACTTGGAGACAAGTATGACAGACACTAAAGCTGTATAAAGGTGTAAGATAGATTCGGTTAAAAAATAATTGTCTACGGCTACATTACAGTGAATCAGCTTTATGAGCATCAGAAATAGAAATACTGTGTATAACGAAGAGGGGGACAATTAAATGATAACACGAGATTTATACCTTCATTACTTAACATTTAATTAACTCTAATATTTCATCAGTTACTCCCAGCCAGTCTGCGATATTTTTTAAGCCTTTCACCCCAAGCAAGGCGGGAAAACACTAGCGCGCAAGGGGTTACAGAGAGTTGGAGCGAGAGCAAATAGGAGTGATAGAGGAAAGGATGAAGAGAAGGATAGGGGATAGATCAAGGCATCTGGAAACTTCCATTGACATTACATTTGAATAGTTGGAGATTATAGCTCTCAGGGAAACAGGAAAAGGGGAGGGAGTTCCACAGTCGAGAAGTGCGAGACATGAAGCTATTGGAGTAGAAGAGACGGCTACATTTAACCGGTTCAACAGTGAAAGAGTGGGACCGAGGTGCAGCCTAGTAACACGTTTAAATTCATGCAGTCTGGAAACTAGCGAAAGTAGCTTGTCGGAGCAGTTACCGTGAAAGTATTTGTTGAAAAAAGAGAGGGAAGCGACGGCACATCTGTGAGAGAGCGACTGCAGACGCGATGCCAGATTAGGGCCAATCACATTGCATATCCGTCTCTGGATTTTGTCGAGGACCTTAAAACGAACAGCGAGGGAACCAGACCATATATGGCAGCAGTATTCCATGCAAGGTCAAATGGTTGATTTATTGATTTGAAGGATGGACTCAAGCGAGAAAAAAACTTTCTGGCGCGAAACAGGGAACCAACTTTCCTTGCGGTGGATGAAGCTATGCCAGCAACCCTGAATGCGGCTTTTTGCTTCTCCTTTAAACTGACAGATATTCAAATCTGGAGTTTAAACTGGCTTCTCAAATGCACTTAATGCTCTGATGATGTATTGTAATGAAGTATGTACATACATTTTCATTATTTAGCATTTTATTCCCTCCAATATTTCACTAGTTTTTCTTTGACAGTGTCCTTTCATTCGCCTTCTGTTATGCGTGAAAAGATTGATCACTCATTTTCGGGTCGGTTTGTATATCTGTTTGTTTCTTATTACTCTAAACGTTATTTTAGCGGATACACATGTTTAAGTTGGCACTCTGTTATTTTAAATAGTGAAATTAATGTCATTCGGATTGGAAATCAAGAAGTCTTTATTAACGAAAAATATGCCTCCTGAACGGAATACAACCTATAAATCGTTTTTCCACCAGATAAATATATATCCATCTGTTCAACATTCTCGTTCTCACGCCTGAAAAAAAAAAAAAACACAGATGCAGGTGTGAGGTCACGTACTTCTGCATTTAGAGGCCGAGAGTAACCCCAGGCCGACCCTGCACCTGGCTGTTTTTGACAGTCTGGTGTGAAGTTTGAGTATACAGTGTCTATCCAGCATAATACCGCAGTGTGTCTAGCTTCTTATGCATTTATACTTATATATTTTAATATACTATTTCGAGGTGTGATGTAATCATGATGCAACGCGTTACCATAAAAATATATACAGAAGAAATTATTTTCAAAGGTGGTATCTTTTTTTTTAGTCATTTTACGATGCAGTTATTGTATATATGCTTTCAATATATAAATTAGTACATATTACCTTTAGTATGAATTAATCTGTATAATCACAGATCTGCTCGCATATTAAGACTATACGCATTCAAATTAATAAGAGTAGATAGGTTCACCTATCGTCCGGTTCACACTCTTCCCGAGTCTTTTGAACAGGGGTAGAGGTCTATCCTTTGTTTCTGTTTAGGATGAGGCTTCCTGTTCTTTCTAAATTCTACTTCGACATTATACTTATAACGTATCCGCCTAAACTCTGAAATTTATATTATTATTGTGTTTCTGGTTTCTTCTAAAGTTTTTTTCTTTCTTTTTCACTTCCAGTCGCCTCCCCCCTTGCAGCTTAGTGACATGATCGCCTTACTTCGGGGGGTGAATTGATTTGATTAAAAAAATATCCACATATCCTTTAGTGTCTCCAAGTCTTCTTAGACGGCCGTGTGTTGTAATGGAAATCGATGTCGGGGTGAGAAATCAGAGGGCCAAATTCGAATTCCATTCGGGCTTGTTATATTCACTTACCCCTGGGAAAGATTTGAATCTATCTCTTTTTTCCCAGATATGAGTTAAATAGTAAAACACGTATCTGGAAAAAAATCATTGTTATTCGCAAAACATTGTTTTTTATATATATATATACACACACACACACACACACACACACATTATTTTTTTCAGAAAGGTTTCAGTTTTAAATAACCCCCCGAAGGCTTGATATGACTCATTTATTTATACTTAATTTTGGAGTAGTATGAAATAAGGTAAGTCAAGTTCTACTAAAGTAGGAGTCCTCATCTTTTTGTGCCACGGACCGGGTGTCATACAAGACAATTTTTACACGGGTCGGTTGGGGTCAGTGTTGGCCATGTGCATAACAAAACACAATAAACAACACTGTGAGAGTCAATAAAATGAAAAAAAAAACGGTTTCATTCTCTCTGTGCACCATATGGTCGACGGCCCGGTACCATATGATCCATGAGCCGGTACCATATGGCCCACGGCCCGGTACCATATGGTCCACAGCCCGGTACCATATGGTCTACGGCCCAGTACCGGTACGCGGTGCTGTTGTTAGGGATAGCTGGTTTATGCCATCCATGTAAACATTAGACTTCAAAATTCCCCAATTCTGAATTTACATTTAATATTATAATATGGAATTAATCTCGTTACAAGTATTAATACTCTAAAACATTTGGATAAATATTCTTCTTTTATGCGCCGTTTCCCTTCAGGACATGAGCGACTATGGGTCTCCACAACTTCCTGACATTTATAGTCCCTAGTAAAGTTTATCTTTTTGCTCTATCTTCTAATCCCGCCATATAGTAGTACCGATATACTGCATAACAGTTCAGTATTCTTTATTGACAATGAAATTTTACCGTTTCTTAACACTTTGCTTGACCTTTGGAAGGCATTTCCATCCTCTCTTAAAAACTAATCTAATATTTAAATTTTTGCCCTTGTTTAATTTTGGATACCAGTTCAAATCTTGTCGGAGGATCTTTTTCATATTTATGATCTACGTTTCACCCGATCTGAGATTTGCAATAAGAAGTAAGAGAAATAAGAGACCATCCGGTCGGGAATCTAATATTGCTGCCATATCTGGTCTGATTCTTAACAAAATCCAAAGTAGGGTGTCTAATGTTATTGGGCCTGACCTGGCATCTCGACTTCAGACACTTTTCTATCACTGCAACGTGGCTTCCCTCTGTTATATATCTATTTTATGCCAGTAATTTTAATGAGATCTCCTCTTTGTTACCTAGACTGCATGAATTTAAGCGTAATAGTCAGTTTTATCCTCTTACTGCTGAATTAGCTAAATGTAACCGTATGTTAGTCTATTTTTTTCTTACACTTCTCGCCTATGGAATTATCTTCCTGTAATTTACTTCCTTGCCACCTACAATCTTCAAAAACATAAATGAAACACCAATCGCCATTTTCTGTCTTCCTGGATCTTGTTTTTTTTATTGTCCTTTTTTTCTTACTAGCGTATTCTCATCCTCTTTCACTCCTAATAATCCGATGAATCTTAATAGAATTATCGTATTGCTTAGGGTGAAATGTTAAAAAAAGGGGTAATAATATGTATACAGTGTGTGTCAGTTATTAGAGAGCATACTTTTATGGAGCCCTAAATAGTAAACTATACTGACTGTGGTATTATTATGCCGGCATAGATAATACATTCAATTTTCACACCAGGCCGTCAAAGTATCGACCTGAAGTTAGTCTCGTCCACTAAATGCAGAAGTAAGCGAAATCACACCTGCATTCAGGCGTGAGAAAAAGAATTTGGGTCAGAAAAAGAATGTTGATTTGATGGAAAAGGGAGTACAGGTTCGATTCCTGTGGGAAGGGATATTTTTTTGTTAAGGACTTCTCATTTTCTAGTCTGGTTGGCATGAATTTAATCTATATATAAAATTCTTGGAATTGCGTTAGTCAGTCCGTCAAACCCTCTAAAATAGACAGACATTGGCCGATAAAAAACAAATTTTGGGAAGAAGTGCAAACTGGTAAGGGGGTATAAAGTACAATTGATTTTAGTAGGTTGTGTAGCTTAGTACAATAGCAATAATTTTCATTATTTTTTGGAAAAATTAGAAGTTTTATTATTTAAAATATATAAAATACTCCCACTATTTTAAAAACAATTTAATGATTAAAATAAGAGATACTTATTTAATAAAAATGCAATATTGTTTTTTTGAATATATTTTCTTTTTAAGTTTTTATATATGCAAGAATTCACTTTTTAGTTTGCCCTGCGTTTGCGAGAACTATAAACAAACAACAAGGTCAAATCAAGTTGGAATTTGGCCCCAGAAAGAAATATTTATGCATGGTCAATTGTATGTCGAAGTCCTAAGAATTTATTCTTCGCTGATAAAAAGAAAAGAAAAAAAATACATTTTCTGAAAAATATTGTTTATGATGGAGTCCTATAAAATAAAATTAAATTAAATTTAAAAAAAAAAAATTAAAACGTGAAGTACGGTTTTTGTCAAAGTATTTTTCCAAACAAATCAGTTTATTTAAATTTCATCGATTGGTTTGAACGAAACGTAGAGTTTGTAAGTACCGACAAAAATGTTAGCGATAACTTCAACAATACTAAATACTGTAGGGATTTTCTAAACGTAGCTTAGATGTGACACAAGGACGAAAGTATGGAGCACCCAGTAAGGATCAAATTCACTACCCAGTCGTAATTGTTTTAGCGAGACAAGTTTGCTAACCATTACACTACACTCAGGTGACCCAACAATACTAAATACTGTAAAGATCTCAATACGCGTCAGCGCGTTTCAAAAAATTTATAGTTATTTAAAGTAACCGGAATGCCAATTCAAATATGTGTATCCACTAAAAAATAACGTTTATAGTAATAAGAAACATTATAATGTTATGCGCTTAATTTGAATATCATTATTCTCTTTTAGATATATCGAGTGCATTGACAAAACAGATTCCAATCTGTCACAGGAAATGAAAAGAAATGTCAGACTCCTGACACTAGCTGCCAACAATAACAAATCGAAAAGATTCTTAAAAGTGGCGAGGCGAACAAGTGGAACGACAGGTGGTTCTGCGCAGACCCCACGGGGATGCCATCCAAGTTAACACCGCTTGTAATAGTCATGGCGTTCTTGAGCAACGATAGCCATGCCATGCCACCCACTTCTAGCAAAAGAGATTAAATATAGTTATCTATTCCTTCAAATGAAACAATTGCGGCACAAAGCCAATGGGGAAGTGGGGTAAGGCTGCTCAACACATTCTATCCTGACCCTAGCTAATCAGATTCACGACTCATGCATTCTTTACAATTTGCTGATTCCCCACAAAAACTCATCCGTCGCTTACATATACCACAATACCACAAATTCTCACAGAACCTACCAAAAAGAAAAAAAACAACAACATGACATAAAAATTTAATTATTTACAAACAGTTCAAATGTAAATAATGAAATTTTTATGTCATGGGGATTTTGGTAGATCCCCTGAGAATTCTCGGTATTGTGATATATAGCTATTTTCCAAGCATAGCTTAGATGTGGCACAAGGCCGAAAGTATGGGGCATCCAGTGAGGATCGAACTCACTTTTCAGTAGTAACTGATCTAGCAAGACAAGCTTGCTAGCCATTACACCAGAGGTGTATAACAAATCCAGTGAGGATCGAACTCACTTTTCAGTAGTAACTGATCTAGCAAGACAAGCTTGCTAACCATTACACCACTCCGAGGTGCCCTATAGATTTTCCAAGCGTAGCTTAGATGTGGCACAAGGCCGAAAGTATGGGGCATCCAGTGAGGATCGAACTCACTTTTCAGTTGTAACTGATCTAGGAAGACAAGCTTGCTAACCATTACACCACGCCGCGGTGCCCATGGTATTGTGATATATATATATAAGTGACCGGTGAGTTTTGTGGTGAATGAGCAAATTGTAAAAATGCATGAATCGTGAATCTGATTAGTTAGGTCTAGGAGTGAAAGTGTTGACCAGATGTTATGAATAATCAAGAGTAGTTTCCCCTTGTTGTGTTACTCTCCTCTTTGAGAGAGCTATTTCTGGGACTATAAAAGGAGACTATACGCGAACCTTGTATTCTCAGTTGAATAAAGCTTTCTTAAAGCCTACACCTGTGTACTTTTGTCATTACACCAACCTCCCCCACTCCACCTTGGCCTTATGCCACAACTGTTTCAATTGAAGCAATAAATAAATATTTGAGTGCCACGTACTGTGATAAATCATTGATTCTACAACAATGGTGAAGATGGCTGAACTTGACAAGAAACTCTGAATGAAGATAGTTGATGCATACAAACACGATGGTGGATGTACAACCTTATCAAAGTGTTTAAATATTCCTAGATCGACAATACGTAGAATTATCAAGATGTAAAACGAGATTCATTGTGTTGAGAATAGATTAAGGACTGGCAGAAAACGGTTAATTTCTGAGAGAATGCGAAGAGAAATTATTAGATGCCTCGAAGAATCCTCAATTAACGTCCAAGGACATTGTCAAAGACATCAGGGTTGAATGTATCGACGAAAACAGTCACTGGATGCCTTCATCGAACAGAACTTCGAGCTTGACGCCCAAGAAAAACTCCCTTGCTTTAGGCTAAATGCCTAAAATACAAATTAGCTTATGCTAGAATCCAGTAGTAATGGAACGGGTCATGTCCGAGAACTGGAATCGTATTTATTTTCTATGTTCGAGACAAATTAAATGGATTCATGTTTGTCTGATATGCAATTGATAGCTGAATTCTGAGCTGAAATTTTTACTGTATAATATTCTATCTCTTTGATTAATATTCCCTATTGAATTAAGTGTATTGACAAGATTGTTAAAAAATAAATATTTACTATGCAAATTATTTTTCGTCATTTGTTCTAGCGCCATTATTTTATTGTTGTGTTTTCTTGTCTTTCAGCTGATGCAAGTCGTCGGCCGAAGTATTCCAGTCACATCAAGTCCCGATGTTTCAAGTCGCTAGGTTGCTATTCGATCGAATATCCTTTCAACAATACATACTTCCTTCCTGACAGCCCAAGAAGAATCAATACTCGTTTCTGGATTTATCCCCCTAATTCATACAAGAAAAAATCTCTCCGTCTTGATAGAGACTACAACAAAATCTACAAAGCCAGTCTTCCTACCAAAGTCATCATTCCAGGTTTTAATCCTTATCATGAAAACTTCGCTTGGGTTGACGAGATGGCTAATGAACTTCAGAAAACGGTATATCATTTTTTTTTCTTTTTCGCTAATTCTGCATGTAGAATGCAATTCTTAAGACAAAGGGAATTCTTTTTGTCCATTTGGAAGTCGATTTTGTCCATTTGGAATTGAAATAACTAGTATTAATGTAGAAGTTAAGATCAAGCAATCTGTGTCTCTCCGTTTTTTTATGAAGAGATTTCTAAACGTGTGCACTTGAGAAAATATGTAGTTATTAAAACTGTTTTAAAGAAGTGTTTGTCTTGGTGTGAATTAAAGTATTTTCGGTTAATTTGCAGTTTAGCACCCGCACTCAGATCGCATTAAAAATTTCCAGAATACTTACATTTACGTGTAATTGTAGATACTTCATTCGAATCTGGCTGATAAAATCTACCGTTTTGGAGTTATCGGCGGTAAAAGTTTGGATTCATTCACGTCACGGCAGCCACAACTGGCGTTGTTTGCATACATTCGCTGCCGAATAGATATGAGTAGTATATTCACTTATCTTGATTATTGCGTACGCAATATTGTTCTCTTGCGCAGTAATTGAGACAAGTTAGATCAGTAAACAAGGCCGTTAACTACGGTCTCTTCCGCGCTTAGCTTTCCGCAGCGAATATATGCAAACAACGCCAGTAATGGCTGCCGCCAATGACGCGATTTAATCCGAAATTTTACCGTCAATGACCCCAAAATGGTAGATTTTATCAAATTTATCGTCAGATTCGAATGAAGTATGTACAATTACATATAAATGTAAATATTCTGGAACTTTTTAATGCGAACTGAGCGCGGCTGCTTATCTAAAAATTAACCGTATTTTTTCACTTTAAAGTGACTCGAGTTGTATAATAAGCACAGTAACTAGAGAAAAGATGATTACACTTTTCATTTTTTTTCATATTACTTTAGAATAAGCACCTCAGACCACGATTGATTGATTTATTGCTTCGTTTTCGACGGTTTATCAACCCTTTGCAGTTTATTTAAAGCCATAAAATAGTCTTGCTTTGCAATTATTGTTTTTAAATAATAATGGTTTAGTGATAAGTTTACCAATTAACCTATGGTTAGGTGACAAGAGGGGAAATTGCGCGTAAGTAAATATAATGAAATCAACGAATTGGAACATGCCTCTCCTCCGGACCTCGAATATAATTTCTTTTTAAACTTTATGAAAAGTAAATAGGGGATCGCATTGTAAATTAACCCCCTTCTATGGAAGCCATAAAAAGTATGTTCATACTATGGTAGTTCTGAAAAATTTAAAAAATAACATTTTTTTTAAAAATCATAATTTGGGGTCTTTAATCGATAGTAATATATGAAAAAACAATTCCAAATTACGTATTTCTTTTTTTTTAAATTGTTTTTATTTTAAGAAATCACGTGATGTGAACATGTTTTGGCTTCCGTAGGCGCGGGAGAAGATCATTTACAATGAATTTACATAGCAAACTGAACTATTAACTTTTATAGAATTTAATGTTATTTCTAATATTCGTATTTATAACAATATGGTGGGGGGGAATTTATTGTCGTAGTGCCGAGTTGAACAACTCCACCAAGGAATATTTTGATAACAAATATTGGTTTACGGCCATATCTCGTTGAAACACTAATTCCCGTACGATTACTGAAGTTAAGCAACGTCAAGCCTAGTAGATATTAGGTAACAGTTTGGGAATACCAGGCACTGTAAGCTTGAAGGTGTTGGTGGTGTAATAGGATCATGGGTTGGAATTGTTAATCGGAGAGCCGAGTTCCAATTCCAGTTGGGTTCGTTATATTCACTTACGCGCAAATACCCTTGGGAAAGGTATAAATCCACAACTTCTCCTCCAGCTATGGGTTAATTAGTAATACTTATATCACTAATCCATTGTTATCTCCAAAATATAAAATAAATCTTTGCTGACAAAATGTTTAGATTTCAGCATTAAGAAATATAGAGGTCGATATGGCGCTAAACAAAATCAACCAATGAAAAACGAATATCAATGAGGATAAAAAAAAACAAAAAAAAAAACAAAAAAAACATAAGATCAAACAACCTGCCTTTCTCTGTTTTACGAAGAGATGATTCTCGGCTTTTGTGCAGTTACAAAAAAAGAAAAAAAGAAGTATGATTAGATTACTTTTAATGGGGCAAAGCAGATTCGATCTTTCCTGATCGACTTCAGTGGCCTAATATATGTTAATGCGCTACTCATGAAATCTGTATGATTAAGAACATTAATAAAAACCATAAAATTAGAAAGCAGACGACACGAAACTAGCGTCCACTTCAGCGTTGCTTGCAAAAAAAAAAAAAAAAAAAAAAGAAAAAAAAAAAGAAAATGAACTAAATATACCGAAAATAGTTCGTCTCCGTGTTTCGATAATTGCCTCAGTGTATGTATAGTGGGTGTAACAGTGAAGGAATGATATGACTGTGGGAGAAGAGTTCTTTTATTTCTTTTTTCTTTAAAGAGAGCGTGAAAGCTAATAATAGCAAAACCAACAAAGAACGTTACATTATTTGTGCAATTTACTCGCCTGAGTATCAAAGATTTTTTTTTATTGGCGAATAGGTTCGTATTTAGAATTGCAGGCAAACCGGCTGTGGTAGACGAATACCTGCTTTGTTGCCATTCAATAAAATCTGAAAAAGACAACTTATTACTACACCGAGGGGCTAAAATAATAAGTAATACCGTTATTGACAACTGATATATTTGTACTTGCGACAACTAGTACCTCTATTAACAAAACGTCTCTTTTACTTAATGACAACTAGTACCTTTATTGATAACTATTATCTTTTTACTTAATGGTAACTTTTACCTCTATTGACAATTAGTGCCTTGATTGGCAGCTGGCTTACGATAGATAGTATTTCTATTGTCACATTTTAATTTAATACCAGTTAGTATCACTATTAATGACAAGGGAATATTGACAACTCGTACCGTTTTGCTTAATGACGATATTCAGTCACCCCCCCTCACGAGGGCGTCATGTGGCACAAGGCCTTTTTAACGTGGGCTCTCCGAGCCCGTGGACTCGGCTAAAAATATGCCCATTGAACCTGTATAAACGGGTTCAGGGTCGGTTTACCTCCCCGAAAGAGAATCCACCCTTCGGCGTAGCCTCCTTCGGGTTCCTCCCTGCCCGAAGGCAGAGAGTTCAACCGATCTGTCGTTCAAGAATGACAACTAGTATCTGTCTGCTGTCGACGTATATATGTTTTCAAGACTTCGTGAAATGTTGATCCCTAGATTTAGTATTATAAACTAATGTAAATGCTGGTTGTGTTGAAAAGATTAATGTGGCTGTGTGTTGAAGAGCATTTAACATTTATACATTTTTAAATCAAGGAAAAACAATGGAAAATCGATTTTTGTTTCAACGATAAAATATATATTAAAATCAACAAATACAAAACAATTTTTGTAATGTGTGAATAATAAGGAGAAAAAAGTAGTTTCCCTTTGTCTATTAGCTGAAGAAGATAAAATGTAATAAAGCAAGTTTTCTGAATAGAATGTTCAAAGTTCTGTATTGAAATAGAATGTTGTATTCAGAAGAACATACAGTAAATTCAGTTGTGTGTTATTGTATAACTAACAGTGTTGTTGGAACTTGGCTTGTTCACAGAGAACTGATGGTGAATGTAGTTCAAGTTCTGTGTCTGTGTGTGCGCAGTGAGTAGAATGAATAGTCTGTGTAGACGCGTGTGAGTTGCTGAGTTCTACTGTCTAATTTTGGAACGAAACCTGGCTTTTATTATTACCAGTAGGCTCCGCGAACAACGGTGGGAGAAATTTTGAAAGAACACAAAAAATATCTGATTGGATGAAAAATTAACCAATCGGTGATTTTATAACAAAATCATGTTTGTGAATTAACAGTAGGAAAAATTCAGTGTGGTGAATGCGATCAGTAAATTGTCCTGTGATAATTAGTATTTATTATTTAACCAATCACAATTGAGAAAAATGTAGGCGTGGCAAACATAGTAGTAGTCACTACACTAACTCGAGCTTAGTATTATTTCTAAACCAGTGTAGACATATACTAGTGTACAATGTTTTTTTTATTATATTGTGTTGAAGTGTCCTATAATCTGTATAGCAGATTATATTATCAAAACCAAAATGGCAGCATCTATAAGATATAGATCTCATCTCCAATATAATCAGTTATTTCCAGTAAAAAGCTCATTTCTTATTTTTTTTGTTTCGCTAAACAGAGGGAGTACAAGTAGGCAACACTACTATAACAATGAAACAGCGAAAGTATTAAATATCAAAGAAGACTATTTACACTATGTTCGGACAGTTGTCTTCATTTATTGCCACATTCACGACGTTTCGTCTGTTGTATGCACCGACCTTCTGCAGGTAATTGGAATTTCGAACTGAGCCCTTTATTTCGGAGTGTACAACGGCCGAAATGTCGTGAATATGACAACAACGATAAAGACAACAGTCCAAACAATGTAAATAGAGTAAATAATTACAATACTTCATTTCAGTATTATACAGACAGATATTAAAGAAGACGTACTTATATACGCAGTATACAAATTGATTAGATATCCGTCAGTTCCCAATGACTGTTTACATTGAATTCATCTAAAGAATCATTTTTTTCGATAACTGACCTTATAAAAAACAAGTTTTTGGTCTCTAGGACTTGCACAGAAAACAGTTCAGAAAGAAACCGTGTCAGGCGAAAATACTTTCTACCCTAGTTGCTTGACGAAAGGCTTTGAACTAACAGCATTGTCACATGAAGTAGAACAATTCTGATTTTTTTAAAAAAAGCTCGATAAAGTTTCTAAGATTTCAATTTTGGGGATAAAAAAAACAACAACACAAAATAAAACAAGGAATTAAAATAAATTAAGAATTGTATTTCAATACATATCTATTAATGGTTCTTGATTCGGGGAAAAAAAGTGAAAAATATAGCAGACAGACGTACCGGTTTCTGTCTGGAAAGGAAATCCTGATCACGACTAGTCACGTGACCTATTATTAAACTCTCAGTCTTTCCTCCCGACGCAGGTAATCGGCTCTATATCGAATGAATAACAGCGGATGTTCTTCATCGCTGTGATTGACATTAACGAGACAATTAAAAAAAAAAAAAAAAAAAAAAAAGTTTTCAATTTATGAACCATTCATATAGCAGTAATCTCTTTATTTATAACTTCCCCTTTTTTTAACCTGGATAATTCTCACCAAAATGTACGGATATTTGGTTACAGTGTTTTATTTTGTCTCGATAATAAGCCCTTTTGACATAGATTTCAAAGAGAAAAATTCCAATTAAAATCCTAAAATATAAAAAAAATAAAATGGGTTCTTGTGTCTTTTTTTGATGGTGAGAAATTGAGAGAAAGCGATAAAACTTTATTTTTTTGATATTATTATATCAGCTGCTGAATCGGATTTTTACGACTTATCAGCCAATTGCAGGTTATCTAAAACCAGAAAATATTTTTGGATTATAAGAATATTTTGAGAGATGATATTTTTTCTGATACAAGTCTTACTAATTAACCCATAGCTGGGGTGAAAAGAAGTGGATTCATACCTTTGCCAAGCGTATTCGTTAATATAACGAACCCAACTGGAACACGGCATTCCGATTTCTCATTCCGAGCCGTTATCTAATACACCACCCATACATCCAAGCTTACAGCACCTGGTATTCCCAAGTGGTTACCCATCTAGGTACTGGCCAAGATCAAAATTGATTAACTTCGATGATAGGACGAGAACCAATGTTTCTGCGTGATATATCTGTAAGCCTGTTTAATCAGGAGACGATTCAAATTTCGGAGCATATAGGTAGGTCCACTTTTAGAAGTGTTATGAAACAAAGTGAAAGATTGAAAAATATAAATGTTTCCTTTATTTTTTACGAATAGTTATCTTAATTTCAGTTTTTTTTTTATCTCAAATTCTCCGACCGTTAGGCTGAGTGTATAAGTAAACAACGCTAATTATACAAAATAAGCATTGGGTGATACTTCAACCAGCGCTGTTTGGAAAATTCGCTAATTTTGACAAGGTAGGAAAATTCGGTAAGTATGAAATAAAAGTTGATTGAAAGTTGATTTTAGGGCTGTTCTGGAGTGGGGGTTTGAGGGCTAACCCCGCCTCCCCTATATTTATTTTTTAAAAGAGAAATGAGGCTATATAAGTTTTGCTTCTTTAAAAAGTAATAACTATCTAAAACTTAATTTATTTACTACATTTTTATAAAAATAATAACGTGAAAAGAAGATACAAGAACTTAACTTTAACTTAGATAAATCGATTTTATTTGCTTGAAAACAATAGAGTATAGTAATTAAATATATACTAATTTAAAAAAAATATTTATTTAAAAATATTGGAGGAGACATGGCCCCTTAAAACCCCGATCCAGAAAGTACGGCCCTGGTATTGTTACAGTGGCAATTCATTTTTTTTTTGTTAATACTTATTTAAACGTATGGTAGAGCTACCCCCGGAATGTACAGCCCTGGTATTGTTGTAGTATCACACCCCAATATCTAATACTTTTTTAAAATATTGGGGAAGGAGATCTAGTCCCCTAAACATCTTACTGCAAGTACGGTCCTGGTATTGTTGTAATGGGGTTTTATTTTGACCCCCACGATTTTCAACTATTTAAAATATAAGGGAGGATGGCTTAGCTCACAAATCCACACTTCAGAAAGGTGCTAAAATCAATTTTCAATCGACTTTTATTTCATAGTTACCGAATCTTTTATTACCGAATTTTCAGTTGCCGAATTTTCCTAAATTCCCAACCGACATCTCCTTTGCCATTGAAAGTCTCCCTTTTACTGTAACAAATGCAGTATCGCATTTGGTTTCACGTTTGGCAAGAGATCAGATCTAATTATTACGGTTTATTCTTCTTCGACCGCTTGGGGCCATATTTGATTTTTGCTTACGCGAAAATTGTTAGTAATTTACTTCCGATCTCATTAGCATCAAAAATAAATCTAGTCGCTTCCAGTTGATATTACATTCCCAAATTTTTATAACCAATATTGAATCATGATTTGGCGAAAATCTCATCACTCTTCTGTTGGTGTGTTTATTTCATCGAAATATTTCTGGCAAATAAGAGGCAGAATTTGGATACGCTAAAAATAAAGCATCAATTTTCCCCCTCATCAATGCATATACATATCAGTCAGTTATGCGTCATGCATGATACACGCTTAGGCGATCATGTATCTTTCGATACATGACTGACGAGGCAGATTTTTTCCCGCAGTAGGTTGCCATTACTTTCTGCGGTAGATCAGTTGCCATCAAAGGCTATACAACCCGGTCTGTCTTGCTATTTACCCATAGCTCTAGGAAGAAGGATTCATACCTTTCCCAAGGGTATTAGCACGTAAGTGAATATAATGGATTTGACTGGAATTCGAACTCGGCTCCCCGATTCCTCAATCCGAGCCACTATCCATTACTCCACAATATACATGCAGAAACCCTGATTACCAAATATACATTTTTTGCTTTTGGGTATCCGTATTGCAAAACATTGTTAGGATATTAGCTGGAAGTTTTAAATAAAATGGAGACAAAGATGATATTTGTAATTAGAAAAAGAGAGTTGAAATTTCTAGGACAAATAATGAAAAAAGAAGGTTTGGCGAATTTGACACCCACAGGTTATACTGAGGGTCAAAAGGTAAACTACGAGTAAATTACCGAACGAGTTTGTGTAACTGGAGACTGAGAAGGAGAGTAAGGGAACAAGTATTGCTTAGAGCTACAAAGGATAGGAAAATGGAGAGAGTCATGATCAACTAGCTTCTGAACGGATACAGTACAAAAAACTAGATTATCAGAAACCCTTGAAATATCTGCAGAAATGCTTAGCTCTTTCTAACTTTTGTTAAAAAAGAATAGAACCTGAAGAACTTCCATAGACTATGATATATTTCAAGAGTTAGACATGGATTCTTCTCAGTGCTGGATATGCTAAATATTATAATCTCATTACTCTTCTACTGTAGACATTTGTATTAATAGAATTTTCAGGTTCATATACCTTATGTATATGTTGACTTTATGTATAGAACGACCACTGAATTTTTACATGAATTTTAACCCGTCCAGAAATAATTTACCTCTGTATAGTAAAACCGGTCACTGTAAAAGCATGATTTTTAATCTCTTAAAAAAATTACTTGCGTTTAGTACGACCCCATTTTTTTGCGTTAAAAAATGATCATAAAAGCGCACACGATACTTGAGTATATACCATAAATATTAACTTGGGATAATCTAAGCAGTTGGGACTCTTTTTCAAACCGCCCCAATTGTCAGCTTGAATAATCATAAAGCTTTGACTTGAGTGTTTTTATCGGCTTACTTTTTTTTTTCAGGAACCAATGAATGTGATCATTGTGGACTGGAGCGGAGGTGCTGGGTTTCCTTACGAGCAGGCAGTGGCCAACACTCGGGTCGTTGGCAAACAAATTGCAAATTTATTGATTCATTTGAACCCCGCTCATGCAAAAAGACGTTTTATGAAATTACACTTGATTGGCCACAGCCTAGGAGCCCACATCGCTAGTTACACAGCGAACCATTTGAAACACGTGTACCGCATCTCAGGTAAGCATTTTGTTTTTAATCATTTCACGCCAAACAAGGCGATAGAGACCGCTGAGACGCAAGGGGTTACTAAGGGAAATACGTTATCGAGAAGAAAGGACAATAAAAGAACAGGATATATAAGGTGACCGATGATGACGATTAGCGTTGCATTTAAATATTTGAAGATCGTAGCTGATAGGAAAGCCGGAAGTGAACCCGAAAAGCAAGAAGTACGAGGAAAGAAACTATTTAGCATAGAACATACATCTAGTAATTTCAACAGCAAAATTATCAGACTTATTTACCATTCTAGTAGAGTGCTTAAATTCCTGAAGTCGAGGAAGCAAAGATAAAATCTCGTCTTTCGATAAATATTTTGGTTGTTAAAGTTATAAGTTGATCGTGAAAAGATCTTGGCTTCCCAAAATTTTTAACCAAAGACCAGAATATTTTTGTTATCCTTTTTTGGTTGGACCGAAAACTTTTCAGCACCCTCTCGTATAAAATACCAGAAAGTTTTGTTTTTGGTAATCAATATTTAATCTACAAGAGGTCTGGTTGGCGTGGAAGTATTGTAATTTAACTGAGATTATTCAAAATCCTGGGTTTTTACTGATGGCCGTGAACAGCGCAGAAAATATATCAACGCATATTCTTCCAGGGACAGTTGGTATTTACTTCGTACTAATGTCCTGGCAAAAAGCATGAATCTATCGTTTCTCATCGCCACCAGCCGTCAGTATCCTTAGGTGGCAGCCTTTCTAGGAGAACAACTCTGGAGTCATAAACCGTAGAGAAAGTAATTGGAAAGTACTCCACTATCTTCTCCAAGAACAATAATACACAGTATACAGATATTCAAAGAGAGCCGGTAAGGAATACGCAACCAATTCTTGTTTGTTTATTTATGTTTTCAGAAATGGTGCATATAAATAACGAAATTCTAAACTGTTGAACTTTTATTCTTTTACTTTTTTTGTTCTTTCATTTGCATTCTATTGTCAGTTTTTTCTTTCTTTTATTCTTGTATTTTTATTCCTTTATTCTTTTGATATTCATAAATTAAAATTATCCGATTTCTAAGTTGAGAAAGCAGTTTTCTCCCTTTTTAAACTAATAGTTTACCCATGCCGTCATAAATAAAGCTATGTTAGAACAGCCTACAATAGTCATAACGAAATCACTATCACGTGAAGTTGCCACCTAAGTTTCGTATAAAATGTTGCATTCAATACAAAACTTACAGACAGACTTTGCGTATTTATATCGTAAGGTTTCTTATAAGAGCATCGTGTTACTCCCTCAATAATAATAATAATGTGGAAGTTTTAGATTCTGATTGTAGAATGAATAACATTTGTGTTTATTTCTTTGCCAGGTTTGGACCCAGCTGGACCGAACTTTCAAGATACGGTGCCAAAAGTTCGTCTCGATGCTGACGATGCTGATTTTGTAGATGTCATTCATACAGACGGTGCTATGTTCCTTGCCATAAAAGGTAACAGGGATGACATGCCCAGGGCCCATAATATAATAAAGCGAATAACATTACGCTTTTTCCCAGCTTCTCAAATATCGCATAAAGATTGTCGGGTCTACGAATGGAGTCTGCAGCACATGAGGCTAATATTACATTTGACAATTACAGAAAGTGTTTTAGAAAATGAGAAAAGGGCAGAGTAAAAGAATGAGAGCGTACAAGGTAAAAAGAGTTGACATAAAAAAATGTAAAGAGAGAGAGAGATGGATTAGATGAAATAGCAAAGAATAGTAGGGCGAGAAAGAAAGAAAGAAAAGAATGTATTAAAAAAGCGAGGAAATAAAGATAAAATGAATGAGATAGAGAGAGGGAGGGATAACAAGTGAGGGAAAGGTAGATAGATTGAAGGAAGGAGAGAGGGGAATGTGCAAGCTTTGAAAAAAGACAAAAACAAAAGGGTTCGTTTTTAGGAGACTGATAGAATAGAAATAGTGACGGCCATATTTTTTGAAAAGAAAGAGAGAGAGAGTATATTAACGAAAGAAAGTAATAAATCAGGAAGGGAGATAAAAAAAGTATTGCAATATTTGAGGATGTGTGAACGTAAGACTAAGATTAGAGAAAAATGACATAGAAGGAAAAAAAAAAGAAATCATTGGAAAAAAAAAAACAATGAGTTGAGTAGTGAGGAGAGAGACATAGAGGAAGCAGTTGCATGAATGGGTAGGCTTGCAGAAGAAAAAGTATAGAAAATGAAGTTAAGAGAAAGAGAAAATGAAGGATGGTGATAAACAGTGATAGAGAAAGGAGAAAATGCAGAAAAAAAAACGAAGTAAAAAAAATATGAGAGAGAAACATAAAATAGAGAAAGCGAATGTGTTAGAAACATTTGAAATGGATCTTCCAAAATGAAATCCAGACTTAAAACGAATGCTGAGAAAGTATTTAAAAAATTCTTAAAAGTATACTTTTTTGTTAATCTTTTGACTAACATTGTCACAGATATACACACAGCACATGTAAATGAAAATGGCGTATTAGGCGATGGGAAAAGAAAGAATACCTATTCAGTTAGAACTATATGAGAGTAGTATAGCGAATATCGGCACTGAAAGTAAAATCGGCGTGAAGTGTTCTAATTCCATTTTAGCCTTTTGCGTTCACTTTCGCCTTGGGGAAGACATGCACCAATCACTTCACCCGATACTTATATATTAAATAGTAGGGTAGACTGTCCACTCCGTCTAGTTGGCAAATAGTTTAAAGGTAGAAAAACTCTGAATTCCGAACCGTAGAGAAGGCAGCGGCAAATCATTTCATTAACACGCCACTAACAGAAAGCATGACAATTCGCAGATAACAAAGAAAAGGAATCTGTGGAGAGATTGCCTACGTTCTGAAATGACATTAAAAAATATCAGATTAAAAAGCTCCATAGCCGAAACAGTAATGCAGCTGTCGCGTTAAGACAGGGTTAGTGAGTAAAAGGGAAACGCCCTATAGTATTTCATTGCGAGTATATTCTTTATTTCTAGTATTGCGTACTGACCGCCGTAAAATGGCCGTGATAAAAAATTGGAATAAAAATTAAATAAATACATGATGAAAAATGAATAATTTCTAGTATCTGTCTATATTTCTGAGATGGGGCATTATGTACACTATTTACATTGTTCGGACTATTGTCCTCATCTTTTGATGCCATATTTATTACAACGTTTCGGCCGTTGTACGCTCCGACCTTCTTCAGGTGGTTGGCATGTCGAACTGAACCCTTTATTTCGCTCGCTGGGGTAGTTCCACGTGCCACGTTTAACGGATGTCGGTTATTAGTTATCTCCTGTTAATTCCCCTTTCCAAGTTCTCCACCGCTTTAAGTAGGTATTGAACTCACACTCTTTGGGTCCTCTCACTGGATCTAACTAACGCCTTTAAATAGTGTGAATAATTGTTAATTCTAAAAAAAAAAATCCGTTTGAGACAGTTTATGTCCCCTTTGCAGTAATGTCATTGCAATAAATATGACTCGATTCTTCCTCATCCACAAGCCAAGATAGGTTCGCCTATTGCCCGGTTCACACTCCTTCGTCTTTTGAACAGTAGTAGAGGTTTTTTCCCTTGTCTCCTATATACGATTGGATTTCCAATTCATTCTCTTAAAGTCTTATTCTCTTCCACTCCGAGTAACCCATTACGTCTTAGTGGCATTATCGTTTTGCTTAGAGTGAAATTATTTTTTTTAATCAAATTCACCCCATAAAAGGCACTAAAACCACGAAGACACAAGAGGTTTCTGGGTGTGAAAGAATTGGAAAACAGAGACATTATTGAAGACCGTACAAATAGAAGAGTAATCAGGAAGACAATAGAAAACGATTGACATTAAAATTTTTGAAGATCAAAATTGACTGGAAAGCAAGAAGCTGGAAGAGATTTGCACAAGCGAGAAGTGCGAGAGAAGAAACTATTAGCATAGAACTTACGGTTACATATAACCAGTTCAACTGCAAATTGAGGAGATCTTGTTGCTAAACGAGTACTGCGATTAAATTCAAAAGCTCTAGGTACCATAGCAAAGAGCTCATCCGACCAATTACCATGAAAAAATGTATAGAAAATGAACAGAAAAGCAACTTTAAGGCGATGGGAAACTGTCTGAAGCCGAGACGCCAGATCGGGACCAATAATATTGCCGATACTTCTTTGTATTTTATCAAGTGTTTTTTTTTCTAAATTTTTATTAAGTGTCAGCAATATTCTAAGCATGGACGAATGGTAGACTTTTATATATGTAAAATTTTTAAAATGATCAGCTTTCCGTTTAGCATGGTCACGTTGTCGTCACATGGGCGACGCTTTCAAAACGTATTCCTAAAAAATTTTTCATTCAAAATAATCAAGAATTTTTTAGGAATAAAAATTTTCAGTTATCTGTTTTGGATAAGACTTGTTTTTATGTCCATCGTCTTTGTCAAATTGAACTGAATTGTATTTTAATGAATATTGTCCTGAAGAAGGTTTATTAAACAGAAAAGTCAGACGTCGACATTTCATTCATTCAAACAACATAATTGCATTTAAGGATTTTTGTTTGTTTTTTCCAAATTTTTCTTCATATATATATATATATATATATATATATATATATATATATATATATATATAGAAATCTTATAAGTATAAGAAATTATAAGAAATTATACTGCTCGAAAACCTTCGGTGTATTGATTTGCAAATAAAAAGCCAATACCAAAGGCAAAAAAAAGGTATAAAAAAGAAAGAACCAAGAACATGTACGTTAACCGAAAATAATCGTCTAGCAGACGAGTTCAAGGCCCAAAGAAAAAAAAACGGTGCGAGTACCCAAAATAACTAAATAAAATGCTTAATACAATGAGTAGAGTAGACCTAGTTAAACCTAGAGAGCCAGACAAACCTACCAAGGTTTCACCTAAGCGGATCGCCGGGGAATGCCGGCCTTCCCTGACGATCCGCTTAGGTGAAACCTTGGTAGGTTTGTCTGGCTGTCTAGGTTTATATATATATATATATATATATATATATATATATATATAATGAACTCCATAATGAGGCTTGACGGAAATTTTAAAAAATGATTAGAGATTTACTTTTTCCGCTGCTATATCAAGCATTTGCGGGCAGGGAACATGCAAGCTAAATTTGTGGGCAGGGGACAGGTAATTTAGTACAGGGCTATCTAACTCTAAGCTAAGGAACGAAAGACGAACCAGAATTATAATGCAATTTTCAACCGATCTTTTACTGAACATTAATTTTCCTTATATTTCAGGTTTTGGCACGATGAAACCAATGGGCGATGTCGACTTTTACCCCAATGGTGGGAAAAGACAACCCGGATGCCAAGGAACGTGGCTTGATTTAGCCATAAGAGCATACAACACGGGCATAAAAAGTAAGTAGAAAGTATAGATGTGTAATGACGTAGATGTCACAGTTCATGAGAGCATAAGACTTGAATCTTTCATATTTAACATTACATTTTATTTCAGTGTGGTAACTTTGTCAATCAGCCGGTGTCCAGTGCGCGTCAGCGTCTCCACGTCCGAAATATTTTGGTCTGCGATGTCTGAGGGACAATCCAACTCCTTTCTGAAGCGGTTGTTTATATAGATGCGTGTATAACATTTATTTTTCCCGCTTGCGACATTGGATGCAGTCGTGAGGTTACATGATTCTGCATTCGACAGCCGGGGGAATCTTTGGGTCAACCACGCACGTGGGCTATTTTGAAGGTCTGGTGCAAGACTGAGTGCAAATGTCATCCGGGCATAATAATACGCGTCTTAAGTTTGTAATAATTTATTTGATTGGAGATTTAAAAAATCAATTAAAAAGGTGTGTGTGTGTCTGAGAAAGAGAGAGAGAGGACAGAGAGACAAAGAAAGTGAAATTCAAAGTTATTATTACATTCTGATAAAACTATAATGATTAAAGAAAACAAAAAACAACAAAAAAAAAAAAAAGCAAAAAAAAAAAAAAACCCGAAAAGGTTATCAGGTGATTAACTTTACGACATGTCAACCCATGTCGAGCTTTCTAGTTTTGAATTTTGTACGGGACACCCAGTGAGATTTGAACTCAATACTCAGCAGCCATGACCAACCAGATTATTCTTGTCAACTACGCTGAGGCTCCCTACTAAAAAGGACTTGCTGAATGCGTTTACTGGACTAAATTAAATTTAATAATCATCAAGTTCAGTTGCGAACTTCCTATTTACTGGCAAAGTAAAGAAATTGATATGAAAGGCATCCTGGCTATGACGATAAACTACACCCGGGAGAAAGACCTTTTATTGGGAAGTTTTCAGGGGCGTAGAACCCCCTTAATTGCTGTTTTCCCAGGTTCACCCTGAATCGGGGTGGTAGCATCTGCCAGAGTCCAAGTTATGGGCAAATAGTTAACCTCCAAACTGAGGTAAAACACTATAAAAGTATTAAAATAGATTTTTATAGTATAAATACCAGTAATACGTTTTTTGGGAAAAAGTATTACCAGGCAATACATTTTTGAAAAAAAATATTAATAGCAGTAAATTTGACTCTCGACAAAAACCCTCTTTACAAAAATACGTTAATGAAACCGGATCTACAAACTGATTTCCTGCAAATAATACATATCCTATTCATACGAATCTATCTTAAAAATCTTGTCGGCATTAAATAACATATTGAAATAAAAGTAAACGAAATCAAATTGAAATGAAAGGAAATAAATCTGGAGCAATGTATTGAATATGAATAGGAGAAAAATAAACATTGACGACAGGTCAAGTCAACACATGGACACAATGCACTTTTCAAGCGTTTTCACACCTGTATTTTAAGGTAATTGGGAATAAAAATTACACGTTTAGAATCAGGATTTGAAATTCATGGGACATATAATAAGAAAATGAGGCTTGGGGAATTTGACACTCAAATAACATATTGAGTGTAAGGGGGGGACATAAGAGCGAGTAGCCTACTTAACGAGCTTTTGTAAATTGATGAAAGAACATTAAATGAAAGAGATAGTAAGATTGTAATTATTGTGTAATGAAGTGTGAGTACCGATAAAATGAAAACACGAGACTTGAATCTTCTTTACATAACATTTTATTCACTTCAATATTTCGTCAGTCACCCTCAGCCAGTGTGGGTGTAAAGACCCCCCCGCCCATATCTATCGTACGAAATGTCGTGCCAACATATGAGAGTGTCCGAGGCTGTTGGTTATATATCCATCTGTTCAGCATTTCCGTTATCATGCTTGCAAAATCTAGGGTAGGTGTGAGGTCACGTACCTCTGCATTCAGTGGATGGAACTGAGTCCCGCTAATCCTCTGTTGTACCCGGCCTCTTTGATGTCTGAATGAATATGAGGTCAAAACTATTCATTCGCCATATCGTACAATTGATAGGAAGTTATGGAGAGCCATGATCAGCTACGTTCTGACGAAACACAGTACATAATAAAAATAATTTAGTCGTTATTACCATAATTTTGCTAGTATTTTTCCGGATTTAATTTTTTGAAAAAGATCGCTTTATTTTTTAGTATGTGAGAAAATCCGAGTGACTAAATTTTGTTTCGAGCACGCTAACACCTGTTAAAATCCTCACAGTATTTAGTATTATTGAAGTTATCGGTAATTTTTTTTTTTTGTCGAGATTTACAAACTCTACGTTTCATTCAATTTCGCAAACCAATCGATGGAATTTGAATAAGCTGATTTGTTTTGAAAAATACTTTGACAAAAAACTTCGAGATAATAATTTCTTTAAGTTTATAGGACTTCATGATAAATAATATTTTTTAAGAAAATTTATTTGTTTCCTTTTTAACAGAGCTGGATTTCTTACTCTTGAGCATACGATATACAACTAGCAATACGTAAATAATTCTTTCTGGAACCAATTTCCAACTTTTTGAAGCGTTTGGCTTTGTGATTTATTTATAATTCTCGCAAATGCAGTTCGAATTGGAAACTGGATTCTTGTATATATAAAAAAACTTAAAGAAAATATATGCAAAAAACTATATTGCATTTTTGTTAAATAAGTTTATGTTATTTTAATCATTAAATTGTTTTTAAAACAGTGGGAGCATTTTGTATATTAAATAATTAACTCTTTAATATTTCTCCCCCGAAATTAATGAACATTTATTGTGCTAAGCTACGCACCCTAGTAAAAGCAATTGTATTTTGTACACATTTACCTGTTTGGGCGTCTCCCCAAAATTTGGTTTCGATCGGTCAAAGTGTGGCTATTTTAGAGGGTGTGGCGGACGGACTAAAGGAAGTCACAGAATTTTATGTATATATTAATAAATCAAATACAATTGTTCTTTCAAAGAGATGATATTTAAAATAAAAATCAGATTGTATTGTTTCGTGCCATTAGAATAAATTCGTTTTTGTCTGAATGTTCTTTTTTTTATTTGTTTTTATTCGAACTTTTTCCTTTCTTTTTTTTTCCCTTTTAACCATTAATTTTCATATTTTTACCCTCATTCCTTTTATAAAACAAATTTACTTTCTTTCAGATGCCAGCAACTCGGTCGGTTGCAGTCACAGTCGTGCTATATTTCTTTACATCGAGTCCATCAAATCAACTTGCTTCACCGCCGTTGAGTGTGATAACAGTCAAAACTTCACACTTGGAAAATGCAAAAACGGCGAATACATCACAATGGGATATCATTTAAGGAAAAACGTACATAAAGGATCCTATTTTCTAAACACATTAGGAAGAAGACCTTACTGTGGTAAGCACTAAATTTTAATTAATTTCTTACTAATGATTAAAGGTTAACATGAAAGATATTACAAAAACATTGGCCATAAATAATACTCTTTTTTGAACCATAAACTTTTTATATATAAAGAAGGTCATCTTTTCAAACTAATAAATTTAATTACTATCAATACCTGTGAAAATGTCATGCTATTCCTCTTTGAATTTTCGGGTGAACCTTAATTCTTAAGTTAATGATTAAATAAACTACTGGCGAGTTTTGTCCTTGGTTTGAAGATAAACTACGATAATATTTTTCGCAAGTTTTTTTTTAATTTTTTTTTTTTACAAAAATTAACTCCAAAGTTCATTTCATAAACACATTTAATATATATCTATGGTTCAGTATATTATCAATATAAACGCGTCCTGGGTATGAAGATAAACTACATCCGATAGCAAGGCCTCTGACCGGGAGGTTTTGAGGTGATTGGAACCACCTCTTAGTTGCGGTTGTTCCCAGGTCCACTCTGACCCGGGGTGGTAGTACCTGTTAAGGTCCCAGCTATGGCCAAACAGCACCCCCCAAACTGAAACACTATGAAAGTATAAAGATATATTTTTATAGTAAGAATACCAGCAATACGTTTTCATAGTGTTACCAACAATTCATTTTTGTATTCAGTTCTTCTTCTTATCAAGTCGCTACACCACACGCATCGAGATTTGAACATATAGTCTTGTATGGGGTGTTATGGTTTGAAGGTCATTAAGTTTTCATGGATCTTCTAGATTGGTAGTTTGGGTCCCACATTGTTAAGGTGGCTAATTAGGAATCATGTTGTTTCCAGCCAATTTTAATCTTCAAAAATTTAGATGCAATGCCAATCTCTGTCTACTGTTCTCTTGATTACTCTTTCCTCTTTCGGTTCATTATCAATGTTTCTGTTCCTAATTCTTCCACACCCAGTAATCTTTTGGTGTCTTAGTGGCTTTACTGCCTTGCATGGGTTGAAACCGATTAAATAAAAAAAATGTTAGTGAAAATCTTTAGATCGAGAAGGTACAAAGAGTTAATCTCTTGGCGGTTAGCTTCAGTCATGCTGATGGAAGGCAAAATGAAGGTGTTCGAATGCAGACGTTATCATTCTTCGGCCAGTGGTTTTTCAAGGCTGTCAATTTAAATACACCTCAGGTCATTGATGTCTGTCTTCGTCATGGAAACCCAATATCTGCAACTATTAAAGAGAACTATTCGGAGACCTAACACGGAGAATTTTTGTACAACCATTCACACATCGAAAAATATATGACCAGGAATCGTGATAGGCCAAATGGGAGAGAAAGACTCTTTATGCTACTTTAATAAGACGTGATCGTTTTGGGGTGTTCTATTATTTGTAAGTCTACAAGAATTTCTCAGTAAACGTGTTCATACCTGTGATGGGACGTGCCAATAATTCATTTTTAAGGATATAGATGTTTACCTTACTTCATTATCATATTTAAATAATTGTATTCTTTTCCAGTACTTTTCAAAGCTTAAAGTTTCTTGCTATTCCTGATTAGCATGAATATGCATGTCATTTGGTCAGTGTGTCGTATATAACATTTTTTTTATCATTTTACACCAAGCAAGGCGGGAATGCAACTAGAACATGGAGTTACAGAGAGTGAAAGTGAGAGAAAAAACTGAGTATAGGGAGAATTGAGGAAAAGGGAAAAGATGAACGGGATTCAAAAAGATGGAAGTTGGCGGATGACGTTGCATTTAAATTTTTGAGGATTGTATTTATCAGGGAAGCAAGTAAACAGAAGGGAGTTACACAGGTGGGAAGTGCGAGAAAAGAAATGAATAGTAGTACTCAAAGTGTGCTACGGGAACTGGTAATGCTATTTCAGCCATAGACTGCCGGTACGCGACTGCTAACGAAAGATAGAAAACGATTCTCGAGACAACAATGACTTTTGTTTTGTTTTTTTAGCTGAATATTATGAGGTCACAGACATTGTTTTGAAAGTCTTTCTGGCCTTCTTTTTAACATACTTCGAATATTTATGTCTTTCTGCCATACTCTTTAACATATGTTTGAATGACTTCACTGGCTTCATTTTTACCAGTGCTCATATTGCAATTTTTGCTGTTATCATTGCATAATACCCCATCTCAGAAATATAGACAGATATTGAACCATGATTGTTATGATAAAGAAGTTAGACTTACATGTATATTAGAAATATGTCGACTTACGGCTATGTCACGTTGAAACACCGTATGATCACCAAAGTTAAGCAACGTCGAGCCAGTTCAGTACCTGGATGGGACAATCTGGGAATTCCAGGTGGTGTAAACTTGGATGTGCGGGTGGATAATGGATAACGATTCGAAATTGGAAATCTGAGAGCAGTGTTCCAATTCTATTCTGGCTCGTTATATTTACTTCTCTCCCCTAGCTATAGGTTAATTACTGGGTATTTTTTAATGTAAAGCAGCATCTTATATATATATATATATCGCACATTTAGTACGGTATAAATATCAATATTTAAATTATACAACGATCAGTTTTCAATAAGCACCTGACGATTGTGTTGAGTTTGAAACTTAGAGTTTTGCTACCGGTGAGAAAAATATTTATCTCTCTCTCTCTCTCTCTCTCTCTCTCTCTCTATATATATATATATATATATATATATAAAATGTTTGTTATATTTACAGCACTGTTTTACGCTAAGCGATTTTTCAAAATGGGTGACTGTTTTTAATAGATAGGGAGAGAGAGAGAGAGGTTGCATACACGCAAACATCAAATTCAGTTTTGCGAACCTTGCGCATTATCCTACAAAGAATTAAAAAAAATCCTCTTCAGCTTCTGTTGTATTTTTTAACGTTTTTTTTTTTTTTTTATCCACGCAACAAGATAGTTTAGTATTCGAGGTTAAATGTTTGTCTATTATCCAGTCATCCAAATACTTTCCATATCTTAAAATGTTACTCCCACTGAGTTTTGGTTTTCGATGTCTTCTGCCGCCATAGACTGTTGTTTAGTTTCCGATCAAAACTGTGTAACCATATTTCAACAACAGTGACAAACTATTCCGTAAAAAGGATCAGCAGATGTGCGAATATGCTTCAAAATCAAAATGAAAAGTGTCCACTCAGTATTGTTTGTGGTTGTCATTTAAATCGGAGTGGTCAAGCTCCAAACAGAACAAACAATGGTCCAATAAAGACAGGACCACACAAGAAGACAAATCAATAATAACCAAATTTATAATAAATAAACTGAGGGATTTATTTAGCATTTGATAAAAATTAGCATATTTTTAAAAAATTTGATTCGTCTAAGCATACGTCTGTCAGTCAGAGCTTAACGTTGAAATGTAAAAAAGCAAAGGCAAACGAAAATATATAATCTGTTGTAGCATGATGACGGAATAGACATTGCACACAAATTTTGTACCAAACCAAAGAAGCCGGGTACACTAGGGGGTGGTTTGGGGTTAGCCACAGACACCGAGTGAAGGAATACGTGATCTTAGACCTATATCCGGTTTCCGGTTTATGAGAGCTTTTGTAATGCACGCAGTTAGATAAGCGACCGACCAGGAAAAAAAAACCTGTAGAGTCTGGTGTCGGCATTCACAGAGCACGAAGTGTAGGGTGGGGGTAGAATGTAAGGACCACATATCTAACGAGGGCTCTTGCGGAGTCGCTTCATATCTACACTGGCCGAGAGTAACTAATTAAGTAATGAAGATTAACTGCACAATTAACGACGTTACAGCCCACTTTGTTATACTTTGATAAAAGAGGAAGCATGATTGCTAACGCTAAACAGTCATATGTTTACGAAACTTTCTAAATATAAGGGTTTACGTGGCTTCAAGCGAATGAATCCTCTCGATCTGAATGGTCAATCCTTCATAAGATCTTAAGGTCTGACGCTAGGTGTTTGCAAGCAAAGAACTTTACCAAATAACAAAAAAAAAAAAACCCCAAAAAACACATCACTTGAAGATATGCAATAGCAGCAATAGCTAAAATGGGTTGCACGTATAACTAGAATGGAAAATAATGAATTAATCAAGTTGTTTACTTTCCACGCTACCGTAAACAAAAGGTTACGAAGGAAACTGCCACAAGTAATAGAAAGAGCTACAACATTTAATGGACTAAAAAAAAAAAAGTATTTTCCTGAAGACTGTTTTAAGAAAAAAAGATTTTATAAATTTCAACCGACAGGAAAATTGTTCGATCAATAAATGTTGATATGGAAACGGTTTCTCTTTACAATTAAGAAAACCTTTTTTTTTTTCATTTTATTTCAGGTTATAATTATATCATAGATATGTATGTGGCCCAAAATACCACTCTTCATGGCGTATACATCCGAATAGTAGGAACCAAAGGAATTTCAAGCAAACGACATATATCTGGGTAAGTACATATTTCTCTATCGTTGCTCTCGCTTGTCACGGTCTGTATTCAAACTTTTCTTTCCAACAAATGTAACCAGATGTGTTTTTGGCCATTCTTCGCAGATAAGTAACACTTCGTCAATGCCGAATAGGTGGCCGCCTGATAACTCCTTGATTCAAAGTAAAAATAGAAACACTGATTCCAAGGTCTTCCATCGTGCAATCTGGCAATCTTAATACTTCAGGGGTCGTTGATTTTTCTTTACAGTTGCGTGCGAACTTCTTTATGCGAGTGTAAATGAATGCTGGAAGGTGTGGTCTCGTGTTGAAGATAAGCTTACTTTAGTTTGACGTAAAGCTGCAATAGATGAAATTGCAAAAAAGATTGAACTTATGTGCAACTGCCTGTGAGCGGTCTTGCATGCCATACCTATATTTCTGAAACTGCGTTTTCAAGGGTATCTAGTGTAATTCTCTCCAAAGCAGCGGATAATAGGGAACTATCTATTATAATTTTCTTCGAAACCGTGGATAATAGAGAACTATAGTATAATTTTCTGCTAAATCGCGGGTAGTATGGAACTATCTGTATAATTCTCGCTCATCAAACCGCGGACACTAGAGAACTATCCCTGTATAATTCTCCCCTAAATCGCGGATATTAGGGAACTATCTAGTATAATTCTTGCCCCCCAAAAAAAAAAAAAAAAACCAAGACAGTTGGGAACTATTTGGTATAATGCTTTCATATATATACATACATATATACATACATACATACTGCTATAAATGTGGTACAAAAATATGAATAATGAAATAGAACAATTATAACAATATACCAGGAAATATAGTCCTGTTGTGGCGTGTATGATAGAACATTAGCCTGGGACCACAGGTTAAAGTTTTGGGGACGATATATTTTTAATTAAAATTTTATTATATTTATTCTTAAAACAAATAATGACGCACAAATGAATACACAAAAATTAGACAGTTCGATATACTTAAATCAAGCAGGTACAGAAATTAAAATATCTGGGAAGTGTTCTAACAGAGGACGAAAAATGAGATGCGAAGACGTATTGAGATGGTCAAAGGTGCAATCCAAAAGCTAAGCAGTGTATTAAGAGACAGGAAAACTTCGTTAGAAACAAAGAAAAGAGTACGGAACTGTTTCGTGCTAACTGTCCTCCTATATGGCAGGGAATGCTGGACAATCTCTTCAAAGATGAAGAAGAGACTTGAAACAACAGAAATGTGGTTCTACAGAAAGATGCTGAGGATACCATAGGACGAACAACGGTGAGGTTTTAGAGAAAATGGAAACAAAAAAGAAACTTGTTCTTAGCATCAGGAAGCACTAGATGAAATTTCTGGGCACGTAATGAGGAAGGAAGGCTTGGAAAATCTGATACTCACAGGACAGATTGAAAGAAAGACAGAGGAAAACAGAGCGTAATATACTTGACGGGCTTGAGTGGAGGGATAGTCGAACAGGGTTTGGGGGAAATAACAAAAAGACAAAACTTATTAAGAGCTAGAAGGGACAGGAAGATGTGGAGGGCCATGATCGTATACACCCTTGCACATAAAAGAATAATAATAATAAAACCCGAATGCAGGATGAAGGACTTAAATTTTGATATTCTCCGTCTGAATTTTGGGGGTGAGGAGTTATTATTTACTCTATTTATATTCGAACTAATGTCACTATCTTTGTTGTTGTTATCACAGCGTTTTGGCCGTTGTGCTCTCTAGCCTTCCTCAGATGTATATCGATCTGGGTGATCTACCAGGAATTCTGAACTGAACTCTTTATTTAATCTACGAGGTTAGACAGTTCTCGTTTCACTGTTCATGCCTCGTGATATCGTATAGTACTGGTCAGTTATCGTTCGGTCGCTTACACACTGCCCAGTCCAGGCATTGAACTCACAATCACTATGTCACCAAATTCACAAAGCAACGTTTTTTATCCAATTTGCTGTGTTGAACTTGAAGCCTTAAACTTAACTTGCTTGCTGATCAGAGTTGCAACTGCTGCCTATGCTTTGATTGCTGCTGCTGCTGTTGTACATGTTTTGATTGCTGCTGCTGCTGTTGTACATGTTTTGATTGCTGCTGCGTTGAAATCTTGCTGCCATTTGTCTTTCTTTCATTATTAGCGGTTCCCATGTTGTATTTATTTCTATGCTGGGACTATTAACGAGGTCCTCATAGACTAGCATAAGTGCTGATTCTTTAAGATGTCTAATTCTCCAGTGTTCTTCCCTATCCAGTATTTCCGCTTCATTCCACAGGGGCTGATGGCTAACCTTTTCTCTTAATAAATTTGATCTTTTCGCTATCTCTGCTTGTCCCTATTCTTCCAACAATTTACACAAGCTTGTTAGCTAGGTTATGCGTAACTTTCCGCTGTCCTTTTTACCTTCAGTATACTCTTTGAGTGTCAAATTTTCTAAGTCCCCTTTTCTCATTATATGTCCTGCAAATTTCGACCGTCTCTTTCTCATGCTACGTACAAGCAACGTCGGATTTAGGACAAATGAGGTCTTGTGCTAGTTAAGTTATGAGGATCTTTACTTGAGAAGGAAGTAGGCCCGGAATACCTACACAAGCATGGAAGGAAGATGGGCCCCCTGGACAACGGTCAGCTGGGTCCTGTGCTTAAACACATCTAAACATAATGGTAAATCCGGCACTGCGTATAAGTGTTTTTTGTTTTCATTTTCTCTAAAACTTCATCGTTTCTTACAATTTCAGTTTATGATATTTTCAGCGCCTTTCTGTAGAAACACATTTCTGTTGCCTCAAGTCTCTTCTTCAACTGTGAAGAAACTGTCGAGCATTCACTGCTAGATAGGAGGACCGATATTACATAACAGTTCAGTATTCTTTTAACGAGTTGTCTTAATATTTTGCTTAGCTTTTGGAAGACATCTTTTCGCTATCCTAAGATAGCTTCGTGTTTCGGTGTTGTATTTTGTGTCCGCTGTTAAGACACTTCCTAGATATGCCAATTTTTGTACTTGCTTGCTTTTTGTATCTCTAATTTGTAATTCGCATGTTGAGCTTTTCTTTGTGCTAACAACCATGCATTCTGTCTTACAATTGATGGCCTTGGAATTCGGAGTTAAAATGAACAGTCGGTTTACCTACGCCAAGAAGGTTAATGGAAGATAGTAATGACGAGAAATTTTAACAAAACATGATAAGGAAGTTATTCACAAATTTTACATGCTTGAGTTTTGTTCATATAACAGCTTAAATGATCTGACACAAAATAATATTAAAAAATGTTTAAAACAAAAGTAAGAGAGTTGATCACAGAAGGAATATACAGTTGGAAACATTCAAAAGTAGACAAAGAGAGATAGTTTGGAATACTTAGCTTTCTTGGATTGTTGAAAGATATTTTTTGAAGTGCCACGTGCTTGGTTAAGGCCGATAATATAATTGGCGAGTAATTTGTCACTTTTGAGAACCTGAACGTTGGACGCGTGAAGAGAAATGAAACTTTTTATATGACTTCAGACACTCGTCTTTTATTAATCTAATTTTTCTCCTCCATTTTATATAAAAAAAAGATTTCGCATAGGCTCGATATTTTCTTTTCTTTCTTTTCCTTGGTTCAACGGCTAATTTCTGTGTCAACATCTTGATTATGTCATTATTTTCCCCACGCCTTACGTGTGCTATCCACTTTAGTTGTTGCCGCAGTTGAAAGTCCTCATCTGATGTGGTTTCTGTTATTTGGTACAATTCTTTGTTTGTGATTCTGTTGCACAAGACCACAAAGCTCGAAATGTTGTTTTCACCAAGACCTCAGGCATCGCTTTTCAAAGAATGAATAGTTAAAATTCATTTGAGATAGCGCTTGCATACAGTTTAGATCTATCTATTGCTGGTATATTTTTAAAATATGTATCGTTGCTAATTCTTTTGTCAAATATGTATTGCTGGTAATATTTTGTTTTTCGAAAATATATTGCTGGTAATAATTTTTTTCCAGAAATATATTGTCGTTATTAAAACCTATTTTTACACTTTCATAGTGTTTTGAGCCGAGTCTGGAGATTAATTATTTGCCCATAGCTGAGATCCTAACAGGTGCTACTACCTCGGTTCAGTGTGGACCTGGGAACACTAGCAATTAAGAGCTAGTTCTGCGCTCTTTAAAATCTCCTGATCAGACGCCTTGCTGCCGGATGTAGTTTATCGTCATACCCAGGTTGCGGATGTAGTTTATCGGCAGATCCAGGACGGATAATTTTCTTATCTGAGATAAGATATTTTGTTATACCCCTACACTGATATATCTGAAGTTTTCAGTATTTACTAAATCCACATCCTGAATTTTTATGATGGATTCAAGGTCGGCACTTTCATTTTAATTCCAGAAACTTCTCTATTAGATGTGAAACTCTGTATTTTGTAAAACGTCATCAAATGTAAAAAACACTCAAAAGAACAAGTTTCAGTATTTTCGAGAGAAAACAAATAAAATAAGCAAGTTAAATTCAAGGAAAAACGTTAAAACATTTTTATCAAGCACAATACAATTACAATAGCATACTCCATTTTTTTTTCACCGCCTATCCTGTTTTCGCTACCATGACTCAAAAAAGTGTTGATTACGGAAAAAAGAAAAAGAAAAAGGACCCCCCTAAAAAAAACAAATAAAAGAACACTATGAAAATCGTCTATCACTCACGAGTTTAAAAATGTTGTGGGAGTATTTTTATTGTGAATTCATTGGGATTAAATAGATTTCATTGCAGGATAAGTTATTGTAATTATAGGGATTGACGTAATACTTTCTTTATTTCAATTCAACCGAAGAAAGTTTCTGCCTTTTATCTTTTGATTCCCATGGGAACTTACAGGAGAAATAGGTTTTTTTTTTTTAAAATCTTGTTCAGTTATTGAAGTTATAAGATGCCACAAAATAGCAAATATTTACCGAAGGAGACTTTTTTTCAGAAAATAAAATTAAGCGATATATATATATAGCGACATGGCTTGTAAACAGATACAAGTCATATATCACAAAAATAACTATGGAAATACTTAATATATCAGACAGGTTTTTAATTATTTTGACGCTCTTTGAAGTCTCAACGGCATAAAAATTATTTGTATTAGAAAAAGGTTAATATGGTATTGTTTTAACTGTGTATTCAATATTCGAAGAGGAAAAGTAACTTACATGCCAAATGATTATGAGAATAAATCGCATCTTGAATTAAACCTTACAAGCAGTAGGAATTATTTTACTCGAAAAATTGTATGGGGCAACGCTGAATATAAATGTAAAGAGAATTTATGTCCATTTCTTTTCGTTGGAGGAATGATACAGCTTAATTTAAAAAGATATAAATTTAATATAAATTACAATAAAAATATAAATTGCAATAGAGATATAAATTTAATATGAATTATCATAAACTTTAATACAAAAATTTTAAAACAAAAAAAGAATGTAAATTTAAGATGAATTAGAATAAAAAATAAAATTATAATTTTAATTGAAATAAAAATATAAGTTTAATATAAAATATAATAATCTAAATTTAAAATAAATTTAACAAAGACAGTTATTGTTGATTTTATTATAAATTGCGAAAATGGATATACAGTTAATTTAAAATTTATAAAATAATAATCTACATTTTAATAAAGAATATAAATTTAATATAATGTTTAACAAGGAATATAAATATAAAAAAAGAATATAAAAATCGAGATATATTTAATATAAATTCTGGAAAAGATAATTTCAATATAAATTAAAATAAAGAATATAAATTTAATATAAATTGCAATTAAGAATATAAATTCAATACAAATTTCAATTAGGAACATAAATTTAATATAAATTACAGTTAAGAATATAAAGTAGTCGACTAGAATGATTATAAATGACTTGAATAATGTTATGTATTTTGACAGTAATAATTTAACTTTAAAAGAAGAAAAGCACGAATACGCCATGTAAAAAAAATTAATTTATATATTTATTTCCTGCGTCAATAAAAAAAAAAAAAAAAACAACATATTTCAGAATGCGAATAGCGATTGGATAAGAGACGTTTGCTGGGAGATAAGCGTTTGTCAGCTTTTAAAAAATATTCTGTTCGGCCTATTTGCTTCATTCTTTGTATTTTTTGTTGTTAGCAATAATTTTCCCGCCGATTTGTTCGACAATTGTGTAAATTCCGTAAATAATCGAGGAGTCGTTTTTCCAAAGAAAAAATAGGTGAACAGTAGATAATGGTAGCTAATATACCAATGTCGCGATTCATTTACACACACACGCATACATGTATATATATATATATATTAAAAAGAAGAGAAAAACCGCAAACGTTTTTGGTTGTAATGTGGATTTTTAAAAAAAAAATATATTATGCTTTATTTTCCATAATTTTGCTACAAGTGTTTCCGGTCTAGAGACTTTCATCAGGCAAAGAGTGGATATTTCCACATATTATTAAAAATAATTAATTTTTCTTCTGCTTTTCGATGTTAAATATTCTCGATATCAGACATTCTCTTATTTGTGTGTTAGTGACCCAAATATCTTCCTTGAACTGGTAGTGAAAAGTTCTGCGTGAAGGGTAATAAAACAATTAAGACTGGTCTGAGAAAGGGTGAGAAAGATTCTTTGGAAAAACGACTCCTCGATAAGAATATACTTATAATTATTCTTATCTTTTAATGACCCCTGTGTGTTCTTAGATCTATTTCCATTTTGTTGTGTTTTTGTTAGGATGCGTACGCATACGTATATTCCCTCTCCATACATACATACATACCGTCTTACTATAAGGAAATAGTATACACATATGTACACATATACATACACATACGCACACATGCACCCACACATATATACGCACACACACACTTCCTATGTTGTGTTGGGTTCGCCTGTGTGCCCGTGAGTTTTGTTTTTTATATATATATATATATATATATATATATATATATATATATATATATATATATATATACCAGGTGTGCATGTGTGTGTATATATATATATATTGTAGGCAGGTGTGGTTCTATCTATATATATATATATATATATATATATATATATATATATATAACCGAACAGGCTTCGAAAAGTAAGATATATTCACTACTTATATATATATCGAGAAGGGAACTCATAATAAAGTGAAGATAATCACTCACATTTTTTTTTTTTTTTTTCGATTAATTTTTATTCTTGAGAAATGTGCGCAAGCGTATTATTATATGTAGATAGGAATATGCATGAGGATGTAAAACAATCATTTAAATCACGCCAACAATATTGATAACAGAATTGATAACAGATAATTGAAGCGGCATTAATATCAAAAACCGGCATCAAAATTATATATAAGGGAATGAATGCTTTTTAAAAAATATCTTACTTAGAGTTATCTACCCTGAAAATTAAATACGATCAAGAGGAATAACTCTAAAGGATTATTATGTAATTTTGTGCCATTATACATTTAATGCATTGATTTGAATAATAATTTTAAAGAGGAAAACTTTTGAGACATGTTCTCCGTTCTTAATTCTGTTATATTATGTTAAAATTGTTATATATTTTTTCTGTTTATTTTTTAGTGACCCAATCTCGACAGGTTACGGTAACAAAGTAGGAACTGTTTTGTTGGCCCACAGAAATCTCGGCGAAATCAAACAAGTACTAGTGTTGTACGCTCCAGAATCTCGATTCCGGTTCTTCCTTTATAAATCTACAATCCAAGTATTAGGAATCACAGTTACAGACGTGACACATCACAGCAGGTAAGATGCCCGGCAAGCATACCGTGACACATCATAAAAAACAAAAACAAAAAAAAAAAAAAACTCATACAGTTTGATGTGGAATTTTATTACCTCTGAGAGAATGTCCCTGTTTTTTTAATGAATCTTTCTGATCTTTCGCAGTCTGTTCAGTATCTATTTCTCTATCTCAGTCTGTTCAGTCTCTCTATCTCTCTCTCTCAGTCTGTTCAAAATCTATCTATCTATCTATCTATCTATCTATCTATCTATCTATGTTCAATATCCATCTATCCTTCCTAGTACATTTGATTTCAATGTCGCTTTGCTTATTTTCACAGTCAAATCTCAGAATGTTGCAATAAAAAAACGACAATAAAAAAAATTAATCTTAATAAACCAACAGTGGAAATTATTATAAAAATACAATGGTAACTTTTCACCTTATGTACTAGACCTTACAATGTCTTATTATGCTGTTCTCTTCTTAAAGAAAGCAGTTGCAAACATTTATGCATAAGGAAGTGCAGAAAAGCTCTCAGTCCTACACATTTGCTAAAATCTGACTTTTATTTTATTTATATATTTAAAGGTCTTCTTATTCGGGTAAAACTTTTCAGTACTCTGTCGTATGCAAGAAAGAGTAGAATCTCTAAATTATTCCTATTTTAAAAAAGTGTTAACAATGATATATTGCGATTTATTCTCAAAAAAACTTATTGTTCAATTAAATATTTTTTCAGTATGAAAAATGACGGTTAGATTTATATATGAGCTTTCATGAAAAGTGTTTCGGAAGCAGGCATGGTTAAGCAGAACTGGTAAAAAGTCTCAATCACACTAAGTAGTGTAAGATGAAGGAAGGGGCAAAAGTGACAAGACACTGTAATACAAGGTAAAGCAAAGCAGTAATAAGGTAAAAGTAAAAAAATTTACAATATAGAAATAGTGTTCGCACACAAAAGGGATACAGTCAAATGGTTATAGCCTTCTAAATTCAAGGCAAGAAAAAGAAAGAGCAAAGTTTGGTGATAAGGCTGAGAATTGTTCATTATTTATTGATCAGAAAGACATCCCAGGATGCATTTGTATGATTTTTTTTAGGTGAGGGTAGCAGTCATTCCTCAATGTTGTAACTAACAACATGTGTATTTTTGTATGCATATGTGTATGATGCATATATATATATATATATATATATATATATATATATATATATATATATATATATATACAATGAATCATTCATACAAAAAGTAGATTAGTAAAGTTAATGATATAAAATGGCGAAATTAACTTTACTAATCTACTTTTTGTTATGAATAATTCATTGTAATATAAATTGAAATGCACCACATATATTTGATATATATGGTAGAAATTATTAGGAGGATTTGATAATTATATTTAAAGGAATTCATTGAGTCTGAAAGAAACCTCAACAGAATGCAGAAAAGCACTGGACGGCCGTTTCGTCAGGACGAAACAGCCGTCCAGTGCTTTCTGCATTCTCTGGAGGTTGGTGCTTTCAGACTCAATGAATTATATATATATATATATATATATATATATATATATATATATATCACCAAAAACCGGGTAAATTCTTTTGAGGCTAGAAAGTGAGGATTGTGCAGTTGCAATCTAGATACGGCAGCAATACTTCATTTTGGTCGACTGTAAAGCGCAGTAAGAGGAATCAGGTACTTTCTGGAATAGTACAAGGAACCAAACATTTTTCCAGCATTTTTAGCAATGGATCGTATTTGCAAGTTCTACCTCATAAGAAAATATTGACGTGACTGATGTTAATTTAATACTGTCAGATACATTAATTAATAATTCTCTTAAAAAGAGCGTCGAGAAAACAGGCATTATTAAGCAGAATTGATAAATTTCTCAGTAACAATTATAATAAGAAATAATGCGAGACACGAAAATGCAATGCAAGGTAACTATAGGACAGTAACAAAGCAAAAAGCTCACAAAATAGAAATATTGTTCAGAGAGGTACAGCTAAGTGGTGATAGCTTTCTGACTTCTAGGTTGGAAAGAAAAGATGTGTCGGTAAGTCCAAGAATTGTCTGTTTTTATTGGCTATTAAGAAATCCCACTAGATATCTGTAGGATTTGTGTATAAATTTGGGGAGGTTGGGTTTTTAGCAGTCTTTCACTGAGATAAAGATACTGGATTCTTAAAAAACTCTTGTAAAAAAGAAAAAAAAAACATTGTTCCATTGGGTTTAGAATGTAAAGATAAATTATGAGACTGGCCGCTGAAAAGTCGAAGCAACACAAAGACAACACGTGACGTGGTAAACTCAACAACTTTATTCAAAAAGTGCCGCTAGACCCCCCCAAAACCTAGTGGGACCGGAAGTGCTTACAATCATCATAATAATCAACATTATTGATATTGTTATAACAAACATAAAATATTCTTCTTAGTCTAATTTTGATGTAGTTATTAACTCTAATGTATTTCTCATTTTAAATTTCAGATTCAAATCCTGCAACAAAATGACCATCGCCAGCGACAGCCGAGTTGTCTTCCATAAAAAAGACTCTAATACGAACTGTATTTAGATTATGACGGAGGGATAGTTAGTCAAAGGAACAAGCAAGAGAACAATCAACAGAGAAAAGGAGAAGCTGAATAAGAGAGAAAAATATAAATATATATACTTACTCTTCTTCTACCAGACTATTCTGTTTGCCCCCGTAAAACATCAGATTTATCATCCAATTAAAAAACAGAAAACATTTATTTTTCAATGTTTTACTAACCTTCAGTCATTAATCTTATTAAGCCTTTTTTTTTTTTGTTATGTCATCTTCCCGACGGCCACATCAACCATGTCCAGATGATGTTTGTATTTCACCAATAAATATCTCGGATGATGGTCTTAAAATTACGGTGTTCAATTGAGTTCAATTGTTTGAAAAAAATAAAATTTCATTTGAAACTGCCTTTAAAAGAAAATGATCACATACATATAAAGCTAAGAGAACGCACACGCACACGCCCCCCCACACGCGGTTCACATATATCGTTTTTTTTTCTTTTTTAGTCATTTCCTCCCAAGTAAAGCAATAAAGGCACTAAGACGCAAGAGGTTACAGTCTGTGAAAGAATATGAGTCAAAGAAAAAAATATTAAGGAGAAAGAACAATAAAAGAACAAGGATTAAGAAAAACAGAGTTTCACAAGCGAGAGAAGAAACTGTTAGCATAGAACAGTTACATCTAGCTGCCATTTCAACTGTAAAAATAATGACGCCTTGCTGCCAATGTAGTACTTCACTTAAGTTTGTAAAGTCTAAGTACCAAAGCGGAAAAAATATTTATAGAAAATGCACAGAGCAGTTACGTTACGTTGGTGGGAGAGTGACTAAAGCCGAGATGACAGGTCAGGACCGATAACATTTCAGATTCTTCTTTGGTTTCTATCAAGAATCTTTAAATACATAGAAGAAGCACCAGACCAGATGTGATACATATATCTTACTTATTATAAAATGCAGATTGTGTGTGTGTGTGTCTGTACGTTTATATATTGGATCGGATTTCCTACATTTTTCAACCGATTTCAACAAAACTTCACAGGACTACGTAAAATTACCTTGCAGTGGTTCTGACATCGCCAAAAATTGGAAAAACACAATTGTTTTTGCACAAAATCAATTTGAAAACACGATTAAGAGGCATTAATGAAAGGGGGACAACTCGTATAAGAGTTATACTTATTAATATCGAGTTATCGTCTTATATATACTTATAAAACCCAGGTTGGTTGTTTGTGTGTGTGTGTTCATTTATATATGGGATCGGATTTCCTACATTTTTCAACCAATTTCAACAAAACTTGACTTTTTTTTGGCAGGTAGTGTTTCTTATTGTCTTGCACACTTTTTTCTTTATTTTTACATTCAGAATGCTTTCAAAATTCCATTTACAAGACAATTGTTTATAATAAAATTCTATTCAATCGATAGACTCATAACAATTGAAAACAATGTTTTTGTTTGAGTTTGACCAATTTGTAAAAAAAAAAAAAAAAAAACTAATTAAGACATGCGTGTCCGTCAACCTTAAACAATAATCTTTGTCAATTTTATTTTTCAGTCTTTATGATGGTCGATACTTGATCTATCTCTTACTGTTATATCCCCGGGCAACGCCGGGCTCTACTGCTAGTCAACAAATAAAATTTGTTTCGAGACATTAAAAAAAAAAAAAAAAAGATTTAGTGTACTTCTGTAGGTTAACGCTTTTAAGGCAAACGGTTTTATAATCGACCAGTGTATTTCTGGGAGATAACATTTTAAAGGCAAGCAGTCTTTGTGCTCGACAAGTGTATTTTATGTTACCCCAAAGAAAAAAGTCCAGGGAAGTGATATCTGGTGAACAAGGGGGCCAGGGAATTGGGTCATCCCTTGCAATTCACACGTCTTGAAATGTTAGGGGTTCATTTAACAGTACCTCTTTCATTAACAGGATACCTGAAATACACAAATCCAACGTGATTAAACATTTTGATAAGAAATGAGTACATAGAAAAAAATCTGATCAAGATATCTCATCAATTGTCTTTGTAATATACTTTTTAAATTGTAAAAAGACTTTATGGACAACCTGTATATTAGAAGCATCATCAAACTAGACATGACAGCAGTATTCAATGCCCGAACGAATGGTAGATTTATAAACGCGCAAGATGGATTCTGGCGAGAAAAACTCTGACACGACACGGCGATCCAACTCTCTTAGCAGCAGGGCCCAGCAATTGATTTATAGAGAGATGAATATTCCAACAGTTTAAATTTCTCAATTTATGTTCTACGTTCCCAGTATATCCTAAAATACTCCCAGTAGTGATTCTCATCCGATTGACACTCACTGTACTAGAGTTTTCAAAACAATATAATATGAAGATAATTATATACATGTAATAATAGGCTTTGCTTAAACTGGAAATATCACGCGTACATGGGATTAGTAAAAAAAAAAGATCAGTTTTCCTTGCTTTTTAGAATACCTCGGGCATCGGAGATTGATCTAGACTCTCCCAATTTGTGCAATTAAAAAAATGTAATACACCGTCAATCACAATCTTCTGTCTTCTTGAATCATGTTCTTTTATTGTCCTTTCTTCTATCTTTCACATTTCTCATTATCTTTCACTCTCATTGCCAACTTGCGTCTTAGTGGAATTATCACCTTGCTTGGGGTGAAATGATAAGGACAAAAACTACAATTTTACAATGCACCTTTTGGAAGTAAACAATTTTTGAAAGTGAAATAAACCCGTTCTTAAATATGATGAAAATTTGTAGGGGAAAAATGGTTAGAAAATGAATACGATAAACAGCAGCAGATACAAGTTTCAACACACTATTCATCGAGTATCTAATGAAAAACGGATTTACTATCAATATCCTGTGAGTAAATAAACAGTTATCGTTTGGAAAAGCGTAATCGGCGAGACGGGTTCAATTTCCAGCCTATTATGCTTGGCAGAAATGCCGTTGGAAAAAGCAGAAATTCATCTATTCTTCCCTCAACTATGGGTTTAAATGTAGGGTAGGCTTGGCTCTCTAGCCTTTGGTGACAACCAATCTACGAGAAAGAAAACTGACATTTAGAAAACCGAAAAAAGTCAATGAGAAACAACTGCGAGGAACGAATTTGCGTTCAACAAATTTCATGGCAATTATTGTTCAAGAAAAAAAAATATTTGCAGAGGTGAACACATTGATGAGAACGGGAGTGGAGCCTTATAGGCGGAGTAAGTAAAATGGTAATTGATGTCTAACATAGCGAAAAAGGGACTATATAGTTAAAACGATTAGCGTAACAGTTATCGGCGGAGAAAATGGAATAGGCAAGTCGAGTTCAAATCCTCGCCTAGTCTGTTGCGTTCACTTTCGCAAAACAAGTATTTGAAAAAGACATGAATCCGTCTATGCTCCCCCCCTAGGAGAATATACGAAAAGGAAAACACTGAATTCCAAATCGTGAAGGAGGCAATGGGAAACTACTTCACTATCTTTCCCAAGAAAACATGGCAAGACTTTATTTTATATACTGAGGTTCCTCTATACAAGGCATAGAAGATAAGTAGAGGATTATCAAATGTAAAAGGAGATAAAAAAAAAGAGAAGATTATGACTATAAGTAGGATAGATAGTAACTGACCTTTGACTTGAAGTGGTTAAGAGATACATCCATTCAGTAGAAGTTCTCGGGAAAAAACTGAATGGAACTTCCTCCTTACGGATGGAATACGAAGGAAATACGGGTAACCAGACGAGAATAAAGAAAAGATAAAGAAAAATGAACAGAAAATAAAAAGAGGATAATGTGGGGAGTCATGAACGTCTATCTCTAGAAGGTGATTGTATTTAAAGAAAATTCAATATGAATATATTAGTTGGTATGATAATATATTAATATGATTTTTTTTGTGAATAGTAGTTGGTTTAATCTTTCAAACAATGGAAACCGAATCATCGTGAATGAAGGTGTTTAAGTTTTCTGAAAATTCACATTTTCTGTTTGCGTTTAGTCGTTCTTGTTTTAATTTATTTTGAGAGTGGAAACTTCATCTTTGTAGAAATGTTATGTTGGAGATCGTCTCGGAGGAACTGAGGAGAAGAAATATATCGTTTAAGAAGAAAGTTTCACTTATTTTGATGCTATAATATTAATTTGTAACGGAAAATGGAAAAGGCAAACCGAGATTCCGGCCGACTCTGTTACATTCACTTCATCCTAATACTCCGGTAGAAGTAAATTAACAGTACATGACTATTTTGTACAAGAAGGAAACCACTGAATTTAAAATAGTGGAAAGACAACAACAAGGAACAACTTTTTTTTTGTACCTGTCCCTGTGTCATATCAGGACCTGGAGGCTCATAGTTATCCAAACTTCCTATTTTTTGTATTAGGTCATTGCAAATGTTTGTACCAGATTAGTAATTAAAAACAATAAAAACGAAAATCCAACAGCATTACGTTTGTTTTCTAACTAACCTTCCCAGGCCCTGTTCTGACATCCATTATTCATTAGATAGGTCTTTTCCTCTATACTTCTTGCCTTTAATAAACCTTATGAGTATCAAATTCTTCAAACTCTCTTTCCTCATTAAATCTTTTTCTGATTTTAAGTATAGAGTTCCTTGTCAATGTTTTCTATTTTCTCTTAAAACTTTCTTGTTTTCCCGATCATGGTATTCCCAGGATCCGTCTCTAAACCCACATCTCTACTGCCCCAAGTCTATGATGAGATTGTTCTGCATTCCCTGTCATATATAGTGGATTGATATTACATAGCAGTTCAACACTCGACTCGGTTTCCCCAAAATAGTAATGGTAATGCTCTGTTTGCAGATATTAAAAGAAGAGGAAGCTGTGGAGAGACGTAACTATCATCCTGAAGAGTCGTGTTTTCTTTTTTTTTTTAATATTTCGTAATTGCAAAACAAAACATTTTGTAATTTTGTCGAATTAAATTTTTTTACTTGATGCTTTATTCAGTGAAAACTGAATTCTTTTCGACAAATTTGAAAAAAAGGTATTAA